CTGGAGGAGCCATAGATGCTTCCGCCAATAGTGGAGGGTGAGGATGGCGAGGTGGGTATGGAGAGCTCTGCAATGATGCCGGTGGAGTAGTCGTTGTAGGCGATGGAGCTGGAGCAGAATGCCATGTGGGTGGAGCGGTGGGTGCCGGAGGAGTAGTGAAGGTCGGTGGAGCGGTGTGCATCATAGTGGTTTCAGGGGCCAGAGGCGTGGGCATTGTCGGCACGATTTGAGGGGCTGGTACCGCATGAGGGGCCGAAGTCAGTGATGTAAATGGCAAAGATGGCGTGACTGACGTGGACGGCATGAGCGAAGACGACGAAGACCACGTAGGATGTAGTGGCGAAGGCTGTCCAAATAAGTGCGCGTTCTGCGGTGATTGTGGCCACGTCGAAGATGGGTTTGTAGGTTGCGGTGGGGTAGGCCATGACGTCGGAGGAGTAGTCCACGGGTACATTGCTCGAATAAAAAGAGCTACAATGGAAAGTCACACACCAAGTAGAACCACAGGATTCAGTTCCTAAACCTACACATCGTGCGTTGTGCCAATCCAGGCCCGTGTTCCAGTCAGCCACAAGGGCATGTAACGGCTTACAAATTCCCTCGAATTAGATGCACAATATGTTTCACCTCACCAGATACCAAAGAGACCATACCTGCAGGAAAAGGACATGCCTGTTGCCTTTGTCGTGAATGTCATGTTGAACTTCAAATGCGCAAGCTGCAGTGATAAAGGAAGTTTCTGGTAGTTCGAAGCAGCTTCACTTGAAAGAGCAGATCACTGGGATCCCTGGGACATCCGGAGCCGCGGGACATTCAACAAGGCTGGTAAACCGCAAGGCTGATTGTTTCCCTTTACTTAAACGAATTACTAAGTTAAAATGTGTGAATTCAGAATTCAAGACTGTCGACACTCACCCTGAAGAGGGTTGCCTCAAATGGCTCCATGGCACCATGTCGGAGCCACCATGGAAATCACACTAGACAAGAATGGATCATTATCTGATCCGGCAGGAACTGAATCCTGAAACATGCAGATTAGAAATGAAACAACGAAAATAACGATGCACCCTACGAATAATAGAAGTTCTCCTGAATGGTTTCCATGGCCAAGATTGTCATCAAAAAATATAGATCGGCGACGTGGTTTTGACAAAGTAATCCAAATACATCGGCGACAGGTTTCGGCGAAATAATCCAGAAAATCAAAATAATGTCGGCGACATGGTTTCGGCGAAAATACTGAGGAAGGTTCAGATGCAACGGAACTAATAGTAAATGACAAAATTGAATTCCAGATTGCGACAACAGTGCAGCAATAAGACGGCTTGTTCAACAGTTCAAACTGATTTCTGCAGGTACACAGTTGGACGTCTCCAACTGCTTCCCATGACATCACTAGCTTCGTTGGCCAGCGTCGTGATGCCATGCGCTGGCCCCCTGCAAATGTAAGAAGGTTAGAACAAAAGAAGTTTTACATCTGTTCAGATGTTACACACACACACACGCACACACCATGCACGATATATTTTTTCTTGATTGTTTGTGTTTCCCATTGGCTCTGCCATTGAGGCATTCTGTTTCTGGAAGGGCGACATGGAGGCTCATGCCTACGCTCACCGTTTGACGACAACCCGACGCTACTACTTGTGCAATCAGTGCTGCGATTTTTGTCTAGCAACTTCTGACAGAAGGGCTCCAGAACTGAGTTGGGGTGACTTGACACTGCAAGCTCCATGACGTCACACACTGACAATGTCAGACCCAAACGACCCATCACCATGGACGCAGGTACCCAGGTTTGAGAAAAAAAAAGTTGCTGGATCTTTTGCACATTGTACATTTGGGCACCTTACGAGACCTGATCCCGGCAGCTATTATAGATTCATTGGGGGATGGGACGCTGCAGCATTTCTTTGGTTTGAACGGGAGGCCGTGGAATGAAGTTTTGCACGCGTTCAGTCGCCACGCAGCAATGTGGGCCAAAACGCAAGGGATGCAACTGTACATCGCGCTTAGCATGGCCAGGTTTGGACGACCCAAGCATAACCATTGGCCAATGTGTGTGCTGGATACTAGGATAAAGGCTGCAAAGGTCAGAACCCTCTTCGCTCTTACTGCTTTCATGATGACTCGGCTTGCAGAATCTCCTATCTTGGATGCACAAAAGAAAAAACACGCGCAGGTTCGTGCTGTGTGCTGCTGGTCATTGGACGTTGCCCTCAGCATTTTCAATTTGAATGCCCGAGTGAAGATGGCTACGCAAGCTGTATGTGAAACTACGTGGCTGTGCAGGCTACATGCTGTGTGTTACCAGTGGCTTGCATGTGAGTGCTTGGCTCAGCGCAGGCTTCTTTACAAGATCAGGCCAAAAACCCATTATTTTTTGCACATGATTGACCACCACGAGCTGACCAAGCTTTGCTTGATGTTCTTGTCAACATTCGGAGATGAAGATTATATGGGGAAAATTCGACGAATCTGCCAAGGGTGCCATGGCATGAACTACATGCTATCGTGGGCCCGAAAATACATATTGAAGCGAGCGCTGCAGTGGCGAGAGATGAAAAAATGAACCCATATATGTCTCGGGCAGCTGCATGTGGGGAGAAAACCGCGCTTTAGAGTGAATGCATTTTTCCCAAAGAAGTTTTGAAAAAAGCTCAGGAGAGCCATTGAGCACAATTTTTCCCAAACCGTTTTTCGACCTGGGTGATGTCTTGTTTTGAATGAAGAAATTGCGCGACGATTTTGTTCTGGTAGGTTTTTTCTATATCGTGTTCGCAATGTTTCTTGTTTGTCAAACAATTTTTGGGTTAAAATGATATATATATATATTTATATAAGATGTAGGTAGATAGATAGTTAGATAGATAGACACAGACAGACAGACAGACAGACAGACAAACAGACAGATAGATAGATAGATAGATAGACATAGATACGTAGATACAACTTGCATGCACTCGGCTCAGAAGGTCCAAAAAAAGTGTAACATCCGTCAGCGCGCATTACTCCGAAGTGAGCAGGTCAGCAAACCTATGCACACGCTTTCATGCGCATTTTCCACCGGACTTCTCCAACAACAAACGCCCATGGTTGTTTCTTTCCTTGCAACAAACGACCAAGGTTGTTTCTTTGGTGGCTAGAAACGCCCGGGGTTGTGTATTTTTGACTTGGGTTGTAAAAGATACGGCCAAGCACCAGTTCGGCATCTCCAGGAAGAGTACTGTGGCGGACATTGTCAAGCTGAATCAGTTGGTCTCTGATGTTAAACGACATAGAGCAGAAATGTTTATTCACCCACTGAAGAAAGGGGAAAAAGTTGATTTAGTAACCTGGGGTGACGCAGCCTGGGCCAATAGGCCTGATCATGTCAACAGCACAGAGGGTCTCATTTGTGGTCTGGCACCACAGTCTCTGCGAAGGGGTGAGCTCTCCAAAGTCACCCTACTCTCCTGGAAGAGTGGGAAAATCCATCGAAAGTGCAGATCACCAGCATGTGCCGAAGTTCATGCAGTGGTAGGTGCAGAAGATGACCTCTACCATCTGAGATACCTGTGGTCTGAAATGCACTATCCTAGATCTATGTTGGAAAAACTCTCAGCGCCTGAGATTGTGAACCTGACTCCTGGAATTACTATCGCTGACAGTAAGAACCTTTATGACAAGATCAACACCGACTCACCGACAGTGAAAGGTGAAGAGAAAAGATCTACTATTGAAGCACTGGCCTTAAAAGATTCCTCTACCGAGTCAGGGACTATGCTCCGCTGGGTTCATTCAGATGCCCAGTTAGCTAACTCATTAACCAAGCCTTCGGAGAAACAACAACTTCTTCTCTTCTTTCAATTGAACCAATCTTGGAGAATCATTTATCATGAACAGATGAAATCCGCCAGACGGAGAAAAGCTGATGGCATCAAGCCTATGGAAAATCAAGCTGTTGATTCTTATTTTTTTTGTCCACCGGTGCAAATTCACGACCAATATCAGTCAGAATTCATGTTCCCATCCGCGCAGCATTGTGGCCCCTCGCCCATTGTCAAAAAGGGAGTGCGCATTCTTGCTAGCTCCTGTGAACCACTTGCAATATATGTGTACAGGTATAAAATGTATGTGAAGTTACGTAAAGTTATAAGGAAGCACAAGTGAGCATGCTAGAGGTAATCATGTTTGCATTTCAAGATTATGACAATACAGTACAAACAATACATGTATTCAATTGTGTTCAATACATTATAGTGTATGTACTGTACATAATACATATATATATAATTATATATATACACATGCATTGGCTTCTTGCAGATCCGTTGGTTTTCTTAGTCACATGCGTGGGATAGAGCTATGGCATGTTTCTATCCATGCCTGTCTTGTGGCGTGCGGATCTTTACCCCCTTTAGTTTGTTGGGCAGTTGTGAGAAGCGTCATCGGTGGAAAGGGAAGAAAGGTCACCCTCATTTGTTGAAAAAACAAAATGATGTAGTTCTTCTCAATCATGAAAAGGAATCAGAAAATTTGCAAAAGACACACAGAACAGAAAGTGTCTGGTGTCCTTTTGCCAAATTTCCTGTGGAGGGAAGGGCGATCCCATGATATACATACGCTTTCAGCTGGGGCAAGTCTCGTTGTCAGTGGACAGTGAGAGAATTCTTCTTGGGTTCAGAACAGAAACCACATGTCATGGCTTTCACCAAAATACACCTGTCTGGGGTCGAATGGCAACTCTCAAGGGATCGCTTCCGATTGATCCTCAAAGCAATCATGCACGCACCATTAACTAAGCCTGCAAAATTGCGGCGAATGCCATGATCATGAACTGTCTGGAGATGAAAGTAGTCTCTGCATGTGTCTGCCATCGCTGGGGATGTAGAAAGCATGGATGCCCCAGCGATATAGGATTGATGATGTATATATACAATGTTTAGGTTTAGATCACAGGGTGGCTGAGCACAGAGAAACCCGTACAAATCGGTACATTCTCTTGTGGCAAGCCAGGCCTCAAAGGTAATGAAAAATTGAGATGAATTGGTGTTGAAACCAGCCTTGGAGCTCGCTATTTGTTCAAGTCCAAAACCAGTGAAACCACTCACTTGAAATTCAAAATGCATTTGAAACAAAATTCAATATTATCTGAACTCACTCCTTTGCTTAAAGTCAATGCTCTATTTACCAGAGTCTTTAAGGCTGAAACATTTGCCATTGACACCACACCAGCTTTGTCATGGGAGAGATTTGCGACGATCTGCCAAGCCCCGGATCCCTGTTTGAGATCCTTCAAACTCTTCAATCATTTTGAACATTTTATGGTTCTTATATACAATTTCCCTAATCTTCTTGCATCAAAACTCTCCACTGCTCAGTGATGCAAACCCTTTGATTTTTGTGTTGACTCGAAATCTGATCTCCTGACAATCATGCAAGGTAAATGTAAAGACCTCATCTTGGAAGGTTGGCCCGTAGATGGACCTCAGATCAATTACAGTGTGACTCCCGTTGAATCCTGAAGAATCAGCAACTTTAGTTTGTTGGATTCCAATTTTACATGTCTCAGTGGGAAATTTAAGAGTCTAAAACCGTTCTATCGACTATATACCAGTAGTACCGCACAAGGCGGTGGCGGAAGCTTCAAAAATAGGAAACTATAGAAGAGGTGAGTTGTTGCGATGCATGGATGACAGAACGAGTCCACTGATGGACCGAAAGGTGGTTGTGATCAGTGGTTGCAGTGGTCACCTCACCCACAGCTGCAGGACGTAGCGCGGTGTAGCAAAGCGCAATGTAATTGTGATTGTAGCTGTACTTGTAGTGTAGTTGATGTTGTTGAACTTGTAATGTTGTAGTTGGATTTTTGGTTGTAATTGTAGTTGTAGGTGTAGTGTGGATAAAATGTAGTTGAAATTGTAGTTGTTGTAGTTGCAGTAGTTGTCGGAACGGTGGGAAGTGTAGTTGTAGTTGTAGTTGTAGCTGGTAGTTGTAGTTTTAGTGTAGTGGCAACTGTTGTTGTTTGTTGTTGTTTGTTGTTGTTTGTTGTTGTTTGTTGTTGTTTGTTGTTGTTTTGTTGTTGTTGATGTTGTTGTTGTTGTTGTTGTTGGTTGTTGGTTGTTGTTTGTTGTTTGTTGTTTGTTGTTTGTTGTTTGTTGTTGTTTGTGTTTGCTGTTGTTTGTGTTTGTGTTTGTGTTTGTTGTTTGTTATTTGTTGTTTGTTGTTGGTTGTTTGTTGTTTGTTGTTGGTTGTTGGTTGTTGGTTGTTGTTTGTTGTTTGTTGTTTGTTGTTTGTTGTTTGTTGTTTGTTGTTGTTTGTGTTTGTGTTTGCTGTTGTTTGTGTTTGTGTTTGTGTTTGTGTTTGTTGTTGTTGTTGTCGTTGTCGTTGTGGTGGTGGTTGTTGTTGTTGGTGGTGGTGTTGGTGGTGGTGGTGTTGGTGTTGGTGTTAGTGCTGGTGCTGTTGTTGTTGTTGTTGTGGAAGTTGAAATTGTAGATGTAGTTGTACTTGTAGCGTCGATTACTGGTAGTGGTAATTGTAGTTGTAGTGTAGTGGTAGTTGAAGCTGTAGTAGCAGCTGTAGTGTGATTAAAGTGCAGTGGTAGTTGTAGTTGTAGTGTAGCTGTAGTCGTAATTGTAATACAGGTGTAGCGCAGTTGTAGTTGTAGTTGTACTTGCAGTTGTAGTTGCAGTTGCAGTTGTAGTAGTTGCAGTAGTTGTTGTAGTTGCAGTAGTTGTTGTAGTTGTAGTCGTAGTTGCAGTTGTAGTTGTAGTTGTAGCTGTGGTGTTGCGCAGTGGAAATTGTAATTGTAGTTGAAGTTGTTGCTGTAGTTGTAGTAGTTGAAGAGTAGTTGAAGTTGTAGCTGTGTTGTAGTGCAGTTGCAGTTGTCAATCTATTTGTCCATCTATTTATTTGTTTATCTGTCTGTCAATCTCTTTATCTCTCTATTTGCCTGTCTGCCTATCTATCCATCTATTTATCTGTCTATCTGCAAGCTTGAACACGAAGCTATTCTGCGAGACTTCCTCAATCTTTGAACTTGACAATGTCAAAAACGAAGCAAACCTGCGAGACTTCCTCAATTTTCGAAGTTGACAACATCAAAAACGAAGCAATTCTGCGAATCTTCCTTCCAAAATGGAAAGTTGACTGCAGAGCTCACGGCCTCGTGCCAATGCGTTTTGCGATTTTTCCAGTCCATCTGTCTAAACTATTGCGCCTGCCACGAAAAGGTGATGCCAGGTCGTACGAAGTGCTGCGCCTGTCACGCGAAATCATCTCAGCAAACCTGAAGATCTGATGCTCCAAATTGCAACCACTCTCAGGAAATCTCTGCTCTGACCTCCTAACATCTCTGATGAGCATGTCTCTTGTATTGCGCCCGACACGTGAAATGCATCTTTGCAGATCCTCTTCAAATGTCCCACGCCTGCCACCGCTTTTGAAACTGCCATAAAACCCTCACCTTTTTGCCTACTTTTGGGAAGGTGCAGAGCCCCTTGCGCCTGCCACGCAAAACCACATCGGAACGTCCAAAAGTGGTCCGAGCATGTGGTGCTTTTACCGTTTTCACTTCCAAATGTGCTTCGCACCACGACGGCGTCGAGCATAGTGTGCTTTGCACATTTTGACTTCGAAATGTGCTTTGCCACAGCGGCGTGCAATTTTTCATCTCTCATCTCTCCACAGCTCCGCACCCGCCGCTTTAGCGAGCCTACTTTTGGACCCTCCAGAGCCGCAAATCATTGGAAAACACAATGAACCGCGACTTTTCTACCTTTTCGCGCATCTGCATATTCTTTCTTTTGACTCTTTCTCTTCTCTGATCTGCTCTCTTCTACTCTTCTCTTCTCTCTGCCTCTTCCCACCTCTGCTTTTACATCTGTCCATATTGTCAGAAGTTTGACTTCTAAACTTCCTTCGATGAATATATGCTGAATACTTGGCTAGAGTTCTTGGACTATGGACCTCAAAACACCAAGAAACATCGATCACTGACTGAACAAAGTAGCGCTAATCACAGCAGAATCAGGACCTCTTTGAAAAACAAACGTTGACACTTGACCATCCCTGTGTGCATTCTGCAAAGAAGTTGTGCTCACTAAACCGTTTACAAACACAGCCTTATACTACAAAATGACGCTTGAATCTGAACCAACCCCCCTTGCTACAAAATGGGTTGAGGGTTTTTATCGTGGATCAAAAGCCAATGTCGGTCACTACAAAATGACTTTGCGTACCCATTTTGTAGTGAAAACGGGTTGCAGTGAAAAATCATGATTCTCTACTAAATGGTTTCTGGAAATTTCACTCTAAGTCTTTGGTTCCCTTTCTGGGGCCCAGGTCATAGTATTTGCCGAGCACAAGTAAATACAACCTTGGGATTTCCATCGGATTCCAAGAATTGACCTTTCAAAAAAGGTTTGACAAAAGCACGGCGCAGAGGTTTTGAACTGCAATCGTTAAACCTATGGGGCAGCAAAAACGATCTGAGCGCACAACTTCAAATTCAATTGATCGGTTTTGAACCAAATCTGTCCCATTTTTCCTCCTTAAAGTCTCTACATAAAAAGCATGTTTTTCGATCTTTTTGGGGCTTATCTGGAGGGGGGCGCAGTAGGTTCTACAAAAGGTTGTGCACGCGCGTGTCACTACAAAATGCAGTGCATGACACAAGTCATCCAGAAACTAGGACATCACGCATCGAATCTGTGCTTTGTGACATTGTGGGTGAAAGGAACTCTGAGCATGGATTCGTTGAACTTGGGTGAAACTTGACTATTGGACAAAAAGAGCAGGAACCTAGTAGAATGGGATAGATTGAGATTTTAATTAATAATCGCATGTGATGGCCAAAAAAGGTGTGACAAAAGCACGGCGCAGAGGTTTTGAACTGCAATCGTCAGAGCTATGGGGCAGCAAAAACGATCTGAGCGCACAACTTCAGTTTCAATTGGCTGGTTTTGAAACCAAATCTGTCCCATTTTTCCTTCTTAAAGTCTCTACATAAAAAGCATGCTTTTCGAACTTTTTGGGGCTTATCTGGAGGGGGGCGCAGTATGTTCTACAAAAGGCTGTGCACGCGTCTGTCACTACAAAATGCAGTGCATGACACAAGTCATCCAGAAACTAGGACATCACGCATCGAATCTGTGCTTTGTGACATTGTGGGTGAAAGGACCTCTGAGCATGGATTCGTTGAACTTGGGTGAAACTTGACTATTGTACAAAAAGAGCAGGAACCTAGTAGAATGGGATACGTTTAGATTATGATTGGTAATCGCATGTGATCGCCAAAACAGATGTGACAAGAGCACCGCACAGAGATTTTGAATTGCAATCGTCAGAGCTATGGGGCAACAAAAACGATCTAAGCGCACAACTTCAAATTCAATTGATTGGTTTTGAACCAAATCTCTCCCATTTTTCCTTATTAAAGTCTCTACATAAAAAGCATGCTTTTCGAACTTTTGGGGCTTATCTGGAGGGGGGCGCAGTAGGTTCTACAAAAGGTTGTGCATGCGTGTGTTACTACAAAATGCAGTGCATGACACAAGTCATCCAGAAACTAGGACACCACGCATCGAATCTGTGCTTTGTGACATTGTGGGTGAAAGGAACTCTGAGCATGGATTTTTTTTAAATTAGGTGAAACTTGACTATTAGACAAAAGGAGCAGGAATCTAGCAGAATGGGATAGATTTAGATTAATTATGATTGGTAATCGCATATAATCGCCAAAATAGATGTGACAAGAGCACCGCACAGAGATTTTGAACTGCAATCGTCAGAGCTATGGGGCAGCAAAATTGATCTGAGCTAGCGCACAACTTCAAATTCAATTGATGGGTTTTGAAACCAAGTCTGTCCCATTTTCCCGCCTTAAAGTCTCTACATTATTTGTTTTTTTCCAATTTTTTGAAGGCTCATCTTACCACGAAATAATCGTGAGTCAAGAGCCAAATGGTCTGAGGGTCCAAGCTATATGTTCATGTAACCGGGCATGACCGGCAAAAGAGGGCTTTGGGGTTTCCGGTACGACACAACGCATCCCAAAATAAATCACTACAAAATGCATGTCCGATTTTTGAGTGCCAAATGGAACGCCGCTACAAGATACAGTGCACGCCCTTTTGCTACAAAAACTGGTGGACGGGTCCTTTTTTTTCTGAAATCTCCACGAAACCGGGGATGGTATCAAGCACGTGTTCACCCTTTTAGTAGTGGAAATGGTAAGGGGGATACTTGACCGCGACCTGAACTCAAGTGTTTTCTTTAGCTGTGGGTTCAGATTTGCTGCCATCGTCTTGAATCTTATTCCTGCCAGCCTGCCAGCTCATGAATTTGCAGAGAAGCGCGTAAGCCAGTCAAGAACTCATGTGTACTTTCTTCCCTCTAGGTCTTCCAGACGGAACTCCTTCATGAATTGTCTGCCTTCCCTTTCTGTCTTTACTTTACAGCATCGTCACGTCCGTCCATATCATTATCCGGTTTAACGGGGCTACTCGTGACGGGTCATTACTGTACCAAAGACAAAAACAAAGTCGGCCAGAGAACCCAAAAGCAAGACGGCACACAGTACACCTTTTTTAACGTCTTGTGTGGGCAGCCAGTGCCCTGCACGAATGGAAACCAGTCAAAATTTGACAAATCTTGGGCACACAAATTTTCCGGGCAATCACATTGATCGAATTTGTCCTGAAAAACCCGTGCCAACAGCTCTGCATTTTTAGCGCCGATCCCTCCCAACGACGCTCGCTCCAGGCTATCGGTTTCCGATGGCCCTGTCCATCCACACTGCGTGCTCGCTCCCTCACAGCGAAGCTCTCCCCGAGCTAACTCTTCAAGGTTTCAGTCCTTCCACGCTGCATGCTCGCTCTTTCCAGCGAAGCTCTCCCCAACCTATTTCCATCTATTTCCCATGGTTTCCTGTCCGTCCACGCTGCATGCAGCTCTCCCCAAGCTATTTCCATGGTTTCCTTTCCGTCCACGCTCCAGTCTCATCCTGTCTCCTTCCCTCCCGACGGAGCCGTCCCTTATTTCTATGGTTTCCTTCTTCCACGCTGCATGCTCGCTCCCTCCCAGTGCAGCCCCAAGCTATATTTCCACGGTTTCTTGTCCGTCCACGCTACATGCTCGCTCCCTTCCCATGGAGCTCTCCCCAAGCTATTTCCGACAGTTTCCTGTCCGTCGAAGTCTCCCCAAGCTATTTCCCGCGCACGGTTTCCTGTCCCCAAGCTACAGCTATTTCTGTCCGTCCACGCTACGTGCTCGCTCCCTCCCAACGAAACTCTCCGCAAGCTCGCTGCATGCTCACGCTCTCCCCAAGCTATTTCCTACAGTTTCCTCTATCGGTCCACGCTGCATTCTCGCTCCTCTCGCTCCCTCCCAACGGACCTCGGTTTCCTGTCCGTCCATAATGCGTGTCTCCGGAGCTATTTCCCACGGTTCCTCCCAACGGAGCTTTCCCCAAGGTATTTCCATGGTTTCCTGCTATTTCGCACGGTCCCTCCCAGCAAAGCTCTCCCGAAGCCATTTCGCACGGTGCCCTGTCCGTCCATCCTCACGGCGAAACAAGCTAAACGAGAACCCAGCATCGTAGATGCTTTTGGGAAAAAAACCGCTGAAAGGACATGGGACTTTGTAACTTCACAGGGTCCAGGCTCACCACCAGTCCCGCTGGAGCTGTGTGGATCTGGATCACCCGTTTGCATCCTGAACGGCCCGGTTCAGCTCAATGTCAATGCAGTTTGTCTCGTATAATGCTGCAAAACGGCAACGACCTCAGCATGGCACATGAAGCCCTTGACGACTCGGTGAATGATGCATCCATCGTAATACCTGTCACACCCACACACTTGCTCAGAACTGTCATTGCGAATTTTGTTGTGGAATGCATCTTACGTGCGAAAACAATCCCTTTTAAACCTGACATGAGTAGGTCACTGAAACGACCTGAAAAAACAGTGAAAGCTGCCATCGCCATAGCCAGTGCTAAATGGAGTAAATTGGAAGCTGACCCTTCCCTTTCAACGAAACCCATATCACTTCCAAAATGACAGATTGCAAAAACCGTACAGGAAATAAAATTGGCAACGGAACTGCCAAACAAGTCAAACTGACGTGGTACCGGTTCTGGGCTTAGCCGGGTGCCATTCACAAGCGTAGGTAGCAAAATCAAAAAGAATGGAAGCAAACCCTGAACAACAGGTAATCACAACCTTGCAGGTATACACACGGATGATCAGTCCGTGCCTCCTGGGATGCTTGCAAAGAGCTTCATTGGGCAGAGCTTTGCAAGTCCCCTGTGCCCCATGCACTGCAAAAACTGAATGTTAGACAACGGTTAGAAGTCTTACGTCTCTTCAGATGGTTCACACACACGCCCCGCTGCTGCGGGGCTGAGCAGAATGGGGATTCCTGTCAGCTGGCCTCGGATCAAATGAGCAAAATGCCAGAGATGAACACACAAATTATTGCTATACAAATTTTACAATGGAAACGACCCTATGTTATCACGGGATGCTCGAGTCTTCATCATCATCAGGGAATTCCTCCGCGCCAACGCTCCGGGCCATGACGTTTGCGGTGATCGCCAGGTGGCTGCCGAGCTGGGCCAAGTCCGCGCGGGTGAAGGACGAACATTGCTCTCCATAGGATTTTGTGGCGGCGTCTGGATCAGCTCGAGGATGGGCGCATTGAACTCAGGATCCCGAATCAACACATCGTATCGGATGCGTGCCATCTGGCTGATCTGCAAGGGCACCGATAAGACTTGATCTGCAGTTTCAGGAGGGATTCCCATGGTAGAGGTGTCATTCGCATCGTCATCAGCCATTTCATCATCAGCTGGATTGGCAGGGATGAAAATGTCCTCTTGTTCCTCATGCGGCTCAGCCTGATGATAATTGTATGGACCCTCTTCGACTTGGAAGTAGCGGCGCCAATACTTGGCAAGTCTGGAAGCTTCACGCCATCCATAGATGGAATGGCCACATTTGTCCTTCACATGACCCACAATTCCATGGAAGAAATGTTCCGGGTGTCGGAGACGTTCACATCCTTGCCAATCTGCCTCAGAGATCCAAAGTTCCGATCTCCGATGAGGGCCTTCACCCACTTCAATCAGTTTGAACAGCTGGGTATGCACCACTCGTTGACGTGGTTGAAAATATGTCGTGAGAATGGGTTTTGTGGATAAGAAGAAGTCCAGGAGTCGCCACTCACAGGTATTGGAACGGATTCCGTTGGGGCCGTGTATCCGTACCCAGGGTTGGCGGAGCCAGATCGGTTCTGCAGAGGGTCCTGGTAGGGAAGTAGCAAAACCGGATGATGATGATGCCCCCGGAGAAGGTTGACGACGTGTAGTTGCCAAAGGAGTCGACCAAGAGTCCATGTGGAGAAACCGAGGGGAAGCCAGATTGGCCGCAGATGAGTCACGTTTGGTCATATTGGGAGCTCAAATTTGACACGGAGAAGATATAATCAAGTGACAAAGGAGAAACCATGTAAACCCCAAAAAGCAGAAGAATCCTAAAAACCAAGTGACAAAAACATGTAAAAAATATGATTTCAGAGGAGCGGCATCACACAATGTCTGTTTTGCTGCTAGGAGAGCGGTCACGGAAGGTAATTGGGTGGTAAAGCTTTGTGACAAGACATACGCATGATGTATGGCTGTGTTGGGATGGTGAAGGATAATGGGGAACCAAAGATCCCAACCTCTTGTGCCTGGGTCCAATTCGGGCGATTTTCTTGTAGTAGACGACTGATGGTTTGAGGGTTGCGCAGAGCGAAAATGCCGCCTGTAATGTTGACGCCCCAGGTGTTGAAAATGTATTGATTGATGCCAGAAAGTAATTCGCCTGCCGTTGCTGTTTGGAATTGGCTAGGATTGAGAAGGCGAGAAAAGGTGAACATGGCCATCTCTTCAGGATCCCGAAGGTCAGGTAGAGTTAAGCATCTAGTGACTGTCATAGCATCCGAAAATTGTCCTTCCATAACATGACGAATTTGAGTGAGATCTATACCAGGATGAGTATTCTTCGGATACGGCGAAGGGCCGGCGTGTAGTTCCAAACCAAAGGGTCATATGGACGATCTGGTTCGGGATGACCCCGCATAGGGCCATCATCATGAGGGTCATGGGAACGGGAACGAAGACGGGGCATGGTGACGGAAGGCTATCGCAAATTGAGCCATGAAACCCTGAGTCTCCTAAATTAGTAAAATTTAGGTCGGCAAAAATTTACGTATTTTTTTGGATTTAGGTCGAAAATGTTACGTGAAATTTTACTTAGCTTAGTAAATATTTACTATTGAAAAACATGTAGGTATATACCTAAATTGATGTAGGTATATACCTAAATTGATTTAGGTATATACCTAATTTTTTGTCATGTTTTTCACATATATAAATGAATATTTTCTGGTTGATTTTATTGTTTTGATTTTTTCCGTTTGTTTTCTTAACATTTTGAATGGTGTGTCTTGTTGGCACTGTTAAATTGTAATACTGTTTTACATGTTTTATTTTGGTTTGATTGTGGTGATGGTTGTGTTTTGATGATATTTTCTTTCTAATGAACATGTTTGTTTTCGATTTGCTGTTTTCTCTGTTGGACTTGTGTATGTTACTTGAGCTTTTTGTACTTGGGCATGTTAGTTTTGTGTGGTTATTTGCTGGTTATTTTTGGGACCTGTGTATGTTACTTGAGCTGTTTGCACTTGGGCATGCCAGTTGTGTGTTTACTTGTGCATCTTGGATTTGGCTTTCGATTCCTTATATGAGGGTACTGTTTTGTGTTTATTTGAATGTGTTCATTGATGTTTTTTACTTGCGACAACTGTTGTACTTGAGAGATGTTTCTGTTACTTGTGTGATGTTTTTGTGTCTTATAGTTTTTACTTGGGCATGTCCAAGTGTACGTTGCAGACTGTGGATCTTTTCCATGGGTAGAATTTGCACTTCAATATTGACTCAAGTAACTCATGTGTGACTCATATTTTCTTTTCTAGTTGGTCGCCATTTTGGCCTTGTGGGCATTGAAGCCTTTGTAGAAGGTCTTGGCCTTCCTTTGACTTGGAGCATGGCTGTACTAGATGTGTTACTGCTGTTGTTTTCTATGTTTTTGTGCAAATCAAATCTTCACTGATTTACTTATGCAATTTTTTATGCACTTTTTTGCACTTGTTATTCGATTTTTGTGTACTTTTCTATGCACTTTTTGCGCACTTCCTATGCACTTTTTTATGCACTTTTTATGCATTTCTTATGCACTTGTTATATGCACTTTTTTATGCATTTTGTTCGCTCTTTTTATGCGCTTTTTATGATCTTTTTGTGTGCTGTTTATGCGCCCTGAAAAAGCGCACAAAAAGTGTATACACTTTTTGAAATAATATGCACTTTTTATGCGCTTTTTAAAAGCGCATAAAATGTGTGCATAAAAAGTGCATGAGGCTTTTGACCAAAATCAACAAAAACACAGAACAACACCAAAACCAACCAAAACACACCAAAAGCAGTGTATTTTTATTTGAGTAATCACCAATACCGCAGAAACATCAAAACCTAATATACTTCTTAGCTTAGTTCATATCAAGGAAATCAGTTAAGTACCTTCCATGTTCAATAGATTACAGGTAGCACATGTAAGACACTTGAGGCCGGGGGTGGATGACGAAAGCTAGCGGGGTAGGAGAAAGAAGGAAGGGAAGAGGTGAGTTGCGGAGGGACTGTCATCATCGTGTCGCGGCATTGTTCGTCCCAACGAGGATGCAACAATGATATATGATATATGATATATAACAATGATATATATGGGGGAGGTTGCAGGGGGGGGCCCTTTCGCGTGAAAAAGCACGTGATGTCCTTGGGGAGCCCCGGAATACTTGCTAAAGCAAGAAGACTCTAGCGAGCTGACGCTAGCTTTCGTGATAATGCCAATAATTGCCAATAATGATAAAATGTAATTGATTAACGATGATGGTGATGATGATGATGATGATGATGATGATGATGACGATGACGATGACGAGGACGATGACGATGACGAGGACAAGGACGAGGACAAGGACGATGATGATGATGATGATGACGATGACGAGGACGAGGACGATGGCGAGGACGATGACAATGATGATGATGATGATGATGATGATGATGATGATGATGATGATGATGACGATGACGATGCCTTTCGCGTGAAAAATCCCGTGATGTCCTTGAGCAGCCCCCGGAATACTTGCTAAAGCAAGAAGACTCCAGCTAGCTGACGCTAGCTTTCGTGAATTGGTCTGGCAAATCCTAAATTACACTCAATTGCACTAAATTACACTACACTACACTACATTACACTACACTACACTCCACTACACGACACTACATTACACTACACGACACTACCTTCCACTACACTACACTACACTCCACTACACTACACTACATTACACTACACGACACTACCTTCCACTACACTTCACTACATTACACTACACTACAACTACAACTACACAACTACACTCCACTACACTCCACTACACTAAATTACACTACACTACACTACATTAGACTGAATGACACTGCACCACAGATAGACAGGTAGACAGACAGACAGACAGATAGATAGATAGACAGATAAACAGGTAGACAGCTAGAGAGATAGGTAGATAGATAGATAGATAGATAGATAGATACATAGATAGATAGATAGATAGATCGATAGATAGATAGATAGACAAATAGCTAGAAAACTAGACAGCTAGATAGATAGATAGATACACAAATAGCTAGAAAACTCGACAGCTAGATAGATAGATAGATAGGTAGATAGATAGATAGATCGATCGATCGATCGATAGATAGATAGATAGATAGGGAGATAGATAGATAGACAGACAGACAGATAGATAGGTAGACAGATAGATCAGTAGGTAGTTACAGTAGGTAGATTATCAGAGAAAGATAGAGAAACAGAGAGAAAAAGAGAGAAAGAGAGAGAAAGAGAGGAGACCTCAAGCACCTTTCGGTCCATCAGTGGCTTCGCTCTGCCATCCCTGATTCACAACAACCAACCTCTCCTATAGGTTTCCTATTTTTGAAACTTCCGCCACCGCCTTGTGCGGTACTACTGGTATGCAGGTACGTTTTCACAGGAACATTGCACCGTCTTCGCTGGCTGCTGACTGCAATGTTCCCCAGCGGCCCCCTGCAGTAATAAGAAGTTTTACGTCTATTCAGATGGTACACACGCAAACCCTGCCGCAGCAGGGTGGGCGAAATGGAAATGAAAATGACATGACCTAGATGAGATCACACCTGACCTAACCGGGACACGAGACGGGGAACGCAAAAGAAGAAAGGAAAAAAGGAGAAAACACCAACACCACACACCTAGCCCAAAACGGGCGAACCCTGGAAGGTCAAGGAAAAAGAAAAGGCGGAAGGAAGACGGGCCAAAAACCGACCAGGGGAGGGGGGGCGGACGGAAGCACCTGACACAACCTACAAGGCGAGAGCCAAACCTTCCTCAGCACGCGAAGGACCCAAACCTGACCAAACACGGGAGCACGCATGAAATAAGGGACCAATGGGGAACTAGCTAATGACAATTGATCCGACCGCAATCCAATGCAGAATCCCCTGATCAGGCTCAATGGCCAAAGTTTCACGTCAACCCTGTAGACAGCTTACGCATTCAACCCTCGAATTGGTGCACAATTGAACCTCACCAGAGACCATGAAGAGAAAAAGTGACCACACCTAAAGTCGTGGGCCTGCCTGAAAAATTCTCTCATGATGCAGGATGTCGAGCGCAGTACTCTCTTGAGCAAAGTTGAAAAAAGGAAGGTTTCTCGAGAGTCAGCACAGCTTCAGTATTGAGAAAAAAAATGATGCCAGGCACGGCAGCCAGCTGTTCAACACTCCCCCAAGCGAAAGGGTGAAAACCGAAAAGGGCCAACTGTTGCACTTTACTTGCACGAATTACCAAATTGAAAACTGTTAATTCAGCGATCAGATCGGAGGATCGAAAGTCCTACCTAGACAGGTATTCCCCGAAGGGTTCATGCCACCATGGCGAATCCAGCATGAGTCACACACTTGCTCAGAACTGTCGTTGCGAATTTTTCTGTGGAATGCATCGGACGTGCAAAACCACCACCACCACCACCAACAACAACAACAACAACAAACAACAAACAACAAACAACAAACGACAAACAACAAACAACAAACAACAAACAACAACAACAGCAACAGCAACAGCAACAGCAACAGCAACAGCAACAGCAACCGCAACCGCAACCGCAACCGCAACCGCAACCGCAACCGCAACAGCAACAGCAACAACAACAAAAAACGATGAGATGAGCCTATATATATATATATACAATCACAGTAGACGTTGACCGTATAAAAAAAAGCAGCGATAAAAACAAAATATTGTCCCCCCAGCTGCGACTTATATGCGCCCAGGGGCGGGACTATACATATATACATATATATATATATATACACTCACTTCTGGTTGCCACTCTGCCCTTCAGCACGGTCTTTTTTCTGAAGCCCGTGCCAGCTGTCATGGCTTTGCATCCTGTGACGTGCCTAGGCCACAGTTCACAGCAGCATCGCTTCAAGCGACTACCTCTCATTGGAGGCAACTGCCCACTGTGACCAACACAATCACAGATGTCTCTTTCCACGCGTCCCTACCTGGCTCACAGTCTTGAAATGTAGTCGCAACTTGTCACAGTGTGCCAGGGTGGCAGCTGGGTGGGTGATTGAAGCAACTGCTTGCAGGCCCGCATCTATGTAGAGCCTTGCCGTAGGCAAATGTTGCCATCTCCCTTGCGTGACAAGCACGTCTATAGAGAGACCCCAGTGCGATATGCACTAGTCACCCCCCCTCTGCTGAGGCTGTAAGGCATATACCCTGCTTCATGCAATTTCAGCTCAACCAAGAGGTCCCGAAACAGCCTCCTAAACTGATGGTTGCTGAGTTGCGATAGGGCATCGCCAGGCTGAATGCCTTCACACAACTGCTCAAGGGCTTGTAACGCCAAACGCTCCTGCAACACTACCTTGTCTAAAGGTAAAAAGTTCTTTTTGGTTCCTTTCGTTGTTGCTAACAAAAGGACTGCTTCCCGAGGGCCTGCAGTTGATGGGAGTATGACTTCTTTGCGTTGCAGGTTCAACAATTCTGACGTTCGGAGAAATGCTGAAAAACCCAAGACCAGGAGCCGTCCTAGCCGCTGTTGTTTCCATTTGAAACATTGACCAGCCATAGCCAACAGCAAATCTGGCGTCAAAGGGGTGGCTCTGGTGGGAAGCTCGACTTGATTCCAAGTCTTAACTAATTTCCATGACCACACCAAATGATTTTTGGCCTGTGGCCGGAAATACTGCAGCGCAGCCAGAGCATAGGATGCCATGGATTTGGGGTGGCCATCCTCCCACAAAGCCTCAATATATTCTGCTGCCCAATCATCCAGCACATGAGGCTCAGGAGGGGAAAAGTTGAATGAAACATTGTGAAACTTACAGAAAAGGTGAAACGCTCCCTCATACCGGGTCTGCGTTTTTGGTTGAACCACGAGTTTGGATAGAGGACCTACCTTGCGTCTTTCTTCGTTACGGCTTGCTTGTGTGGGTATATGTTGCACCTTCTTTTTACTTGACATTCTGCGCGAGGGGGCATCAGCCGGATTGAGGTGGCTCTCAATCCAAGCCAATGCTGGGTAAAGACCAGCTGCCACCAGCATAGACCCCAAGCGCCGAAGGAGATGATTAAGCTGCCTGCTGCTGCTTCGACCCTTCACTGCCACGCTCAGCACCTGCGAGTCTGAGAGGTGCAGGAACCTTGTGCCATGAAACCCATTCTTCCGTAAGCGCCATTCCACACAATGAATGAGCGCTCGAAGCTCGAGGACGTTGATATGCTCTTCCCTCTGGAAAGGATAAGCATGGGCTTCATGCCACAGCCACCTATGTGGGTTGACCGTGGCACGCGGAAAGGTATCCGGCCGGTACAGTGTGCTCACGTCCAACCGGACATCACTTCCTCTGTACTCTTGCCGCCGAACAAAAGCTTGAACCATCTGTACTGCAAGGTTAAGGTCTCTTTCTGTTACCCCCGCAATGCTTGTTGCTGATGCAGGGGAGCGAGGGATCGTTTTTCTTTCCATCTTGAAACTCTGTACTTGCGTGGTGTCACTGTCCTCACCCGGATCTCCCCCCGCTTGGGTCTGATCCGTGACCACCTCCACTGTGGTGGGTGGGGGCGAGACAGCCATTCTTTTGAGTTCTTCTGCCCACGCCTCCACCATCTCATGATGGCCTGACAGTTTCTTGACTCCATACGACCACAGCGCATAGCACAAAAGGGCAGCAACCAGCACTGCGTGAAACGAATTTCCCAAGGCGCTGCAGCGCAAATCTTCAGCAGCCTCCTTTTCCTCTGGGCTCTCAGGCGGCTTCTTGAGCAAATCCAGGGTGTGGTTTCTCTTGAACCCCTTGAGTTGCTCTTTTTTTAATTTGCATTCAGAGGCCGTGCTTCGCCTTCTTCCCTGGTGATCATGTAATATGCCCCATATGTATAAGGGGGGTACCTGAAGTGATGTTCCCTCCAGCGCTGTCGGGCTTCCCCGTCTCGTCTGTAGAGGCTAGCCCCGCCGGTTCTTTTGGGGGCTTTTGTCTCTTGATCGCCCTGGTGAAGATGGGGAATCTCTTGCCTGTATCACGCCGACCCGGCTCCCAATCCCAGCCTTCATCCAAAATGGCTTGCATGGGTTCCGTTGCGGCCCCGAAAATGACTTCGTCATACAGCTCCCGCTGATAAATCTCCACCTCCTCGTGGTCCATCAGGTCCACTGACAACCAGAACATTCGTGGCCGCCTGGCCCGAGACAAATGCTGAGAGTCCACCAACAGCAGTCTCATCCCGAGGGCCAGACTCATCTCCAAAAGGTTTGATCGTCTGGCACCACGTTCTCCAGAAACCTGAAGCACCACATAAACTTTTCCGTCGCCACTTCCTGTACCAACTTGAAAACCCTCACGGCCTCGAAGAACAACCCACTTCGAGGGTCCTCCAAATGTTGCCGGTCTACTGACAACCGGGATAGCCCCTGGCAGGGACTGCCTCCTCCTACTATGACTCCATTGGCATCAGGCACCCGGCGCAGCCACCGCTGAACCATCTCCTTGTCCACCTTTTTGATGTCAGTGCAGAAATCCATGCCCGGGAACCTCCTCTTTAGACATCGTCTGCAATCCGGGTCTGCCTCCACAGCCACCGTGAACCATGGTTTGACTTCAGCCAACTCAAGCGCCCTTTCCGGTCCACCGATGCCAGCAAACAGATCAATTACTATTATCTTTTGAGGCACATCTCTGAAGTCAGACGAGGGTGGCTCCCCCTGCTTCTGTTCTTCCTCCATCAGCCTTTCCAACTCTTCTTCTCCAAGGCGACTCAAACGAGAGGCATAGCAAGCTCCACCACCAGCCTCGGAGGCGTCACTTGCCGTCACCACTGGATCGATCCCTGCTTTCAGATGGGTCATCACCAGCGGCAGCAGTGACTCCAACACCATCATCTCATCATAGAAACTTGTGGTGGCTGATACCCTGTCCTTGCTGTGGGCAAAACTTGTAAAGATCTCCTGCATCACTGAGAACAAACATCTCCTGAACTGAAGTATGTGCACAGTGCACAGCTTTTCCGGCATAGACCTGCAATGCTGTCGTTGCAAATGATCCTTTCTGCCTCAACCAAGCTCCCAAACTCATCAGGTCAAGGGAGCGCTTTGTTGTCACTCGTAGCAGTCCCTTTTCTCCGTCAAGGAGTGCCCCCAGTCTCTCGGCACACCCAGAGCCTTCCCAGCGTTGGTCGGGATACCCCACCATTCATAAGCTCTGCGAAGTCGCAGCTGCTCGTCGGGTGGTAGCCCTTCCAAACTCCTAGCCACCTCCTTACTCACCTTCTCCAAGATTGTGGTGTCGTCCAAGTAGATGGCCCAGGCCGGACTTTCTTCCAACGAGGGGAACACTGCATCCTTCCTGATCTCTGCTTTTTCATGTAGCGCAGCCCCAAACCGCAGCTCAGTCCGCAGCGCCAGTTGCCGATGAGCGCACTGCATGATCGCCACTGCGCTTGACCAACCCATGGGTAGGACATTGATGCCCACCAGGGTCTCGCCACTGTGCCCAGGTTCAAACAGCGAGCGCCTCACTGGCTTTCGCAGCACTAAATACTTTGCCCAGTCTGGGGGCAACCTGAACAGGTAGAAGGCTGCGGTGAGATCATCCCCTGACACCAAAAGTTGGTCCTCAGGGCCCAGCATCAGCTTCTGAAAGCTCGCAGCGCCCGTCAATGTACGGACATCTCCTTGCAACTGTTCCAAGATGGTGTTGCTGGCTCTAAGATCAAAAATCATTCGCAGCACTGGGTCACTGGGAGGCCTGACTCAGTCATGCGGTCTGGCTTGATGACCCCAAAGGCACCGTTTAAAACCGGTACCCCACCTACCGAAGGCTTTGTGGTCATTGGACTCACCAGGTGCCTCTCATGTAGAGCCTGCACCACCTTCTCCCACTCTTCATCTCCGCACAAAACCTGCGGCTGCGGGATGAGCCCACTTACCTCTCGCAACATAAGATCCGGACTGCTGAGCTTGTCTCTCATTTTCTCATCCACCACATCCAGGATATTCACAAGGCCTCCGTGCTCTGCTGAGGGGAGGCCAGGCAAAATCTGCTCAAGGGTGAGAGGCCTGGCTTTCTCCACGACTTCACCTGTGTAGCTCACCTTGAGCTTCTCCAGTTCTGCGTCCCACCCTCCTTGCGGAGTCCTGGGTACGCCCCCTCTCTTGGGTTTCTCTTCCACAAAGGTCTTGACCATGTCCCAGATGCGACATAGGGCATCCTCTTGCTGTGAGGTGGCACGGCCTGCTGGTTGAGCCACTCCTTCTGCCAAGCTTCCTCCGCTATGCATCCAGTTCAACCCAATCACCGACAGGCCATGCCACAGAAGCAACCCCTGGTTTCTTAAGGCACGGCTGGCCTTATTCTTGGTGTTTCCCCTTGACCTCCACTCACCTGGCTTATCCTTGTACTTCTGGTTTTCTATAACTTCTTGCATGGCCAGTATCACGTCCGGCCAAAGGGGGAGAGGCATCAAATTCCGCACCCGATGGCTCTGCTCCCACGTGGGCTTCAGAGAACTTTCAATGAGCCTGCCAAGGGGCCCATTCAGTTGAACAGCCTGTAACAACAGATATTGACTCATCTGGGCCGCTGACAAATGCTCCCTTCATTTTCTGTAAGCCAGGCCATGATCTCCTTCACCTTTCCTGAGGTCACTTCATCACCACCTGTCGGGGACCTGTTTCTGAGCCTGACACCCCTGCTGGATGATGAGGGGGCTCCCCCTTCGGGTCTGCCCGCTTGCGACTGGCCTTGATCCTCTTCCAAAACGCGGCCTTTCGGTCTTTTCGTGACGGGCGAGTTTCCCCTGTTTCTGCCGGCGGGTCCCCTTTTGAACCCTCTTGCTTTGGGCCTAGGTTGGCCTCTTTCCTCACGGCCGCCTCGGCCTTGTGACGGGCTATCACGGCCTCGTTGAAGGTGACCTTTGCCTCTGTAGGTGGGCCCCCTGTCGGTCGAAGAGGACTCAATCTCCCTGCAGTGTCTGCCCTCACTCGATTGGGACTCACAGACCTTCCCGGGCTTGGATCTGGTCCGCTGCCTGTGACCCCTACTTGGAGCGATCGGCCTTCTTGAGGGCTTCTCTCATCTTCAGGGCTCGCAGCTCCTGCTTGGTGGCGAGTTCCCTCTCCTCCGGCTGCACCAGCGTTGCGGTGGTCGGCGGAATGATCTCCAGGTGTGTTGCTGTCGACCAACCCCCTTCCCACAGGGAAGTCTCGCAGGCCTTCAGCCGTTGTATCAAGGTGTCGCTGGCATGTGCCAGACGCCCCGCCATCAGATGATCCAGAGCCGTCGACAACGTCTGAAGCTCTCGAGTCATTCGAAGCCCCACCTTCTGAGGACCGTGAACCGTCATGATGACTTCATTCAAGTATGCCGTGACTCTTTGACCTTGCCAGCTCTTCGCTTCCTCCTCCGTCTCGGCCTTGTCTGCGAGATAGCGGCTCATCTCGTCGAGGGCGATTCGGCTGAGGCGCCCGGGTTTCTTTTGGGCAAGCCTCTACAACTCGCCCCCCCGGGCCGGGGCAAGTTGAAAACTCGAAGACTCGCTTTCTTCGGAGGACGTCTTCTCAGGGCTATCCTGGTCCTCTCTCTTTGGCTTCTTCTCCGATCCTCTTTTCTTCTTCTTTCGACTTGGAGCGGTTTTCTTTTCACCTTGCTTTGCCGCTTGCTGCAGCAAGAACTGGGGCATGGAATCCTTTCCCCGCCTAGGGCTGCGGGACCTTTTTCTCAGTTCCTTTTCTTTTGATCTGGAGGCTCTCCCCTCTTGGGTTCTGCCTCCCTGCTCAAGGCCTCCTCCAGCCCGGTGCCCACTTGTGCTCGAGCAGCCTTCTTTTCCCTGGCCAGGTTGGCCAAGATGCTCTCGCCTGACTCCCAAATCTTGAAGATAGCCAATGTCCACCATGGCCCGTGGAGTCAAGAGGCGCCACTTTCCCAAGTGTATGGATGAGCTCCCTTCGGTCTGCTCGTCCTTTCTTTGCCTTGCACTTGGACACCTCACAATCACATATGTGGTAGAGTCCGTTGTCTCGACCCATGTCATGATCAACATACCACTGATAGTACCCATCTGAAGCTGGGCCATGAGTCCCCACAAACAGGGCGGCATCTGCATCCTCCCATTCCTTCAAAGCGATTACTCCTCACCCCTGGGGGTTTCCTTGAGAGTAGCAGCAGTCGTACTCTACCACCCGCTCCTTTTGGCCAGTGCTTGGGCTTGACCTCGGAGGTCACTACCCGCTTCTTCAACTTCTGCTGGAGCCAAGCCCAGCTCGGCCCCCCTCTGTAAGAGCTGCTGCATGGCCCAGCCAGCAGCACCCGCCCCCAAGGCGGGTTCTCCGAGGCGCACCAGGAGCTAGCTGTGAAGCACCGCCACCAGCTGTCGATGGCTCAGGCCCCAGTGCCACCCTACCGTTTACCGGTCTGGGCCAACACGGGGACCACCCACCAGCAGCTGGTGGCCCAACCCTTCAGCTGTGAGCCGAAAACTACACGTGGCAACCCCTGTTCGTGTATAATTCTCATAAATGATCCACCATATAATTATATTTGTAATATGCAGGTACGTTTTCACAGGAACATTGCAGCGTCTTCGCTGGCCGCTGACTGCAATGTTCCCCAGCGGCCCCCTGCAGTAATAAGAAGTTTTACATCTATTCAGATAGTACACACACACACTGATGGGCACACTGGCACACTCTTTCGCAGACACATACTTGTCTCAATTCTCCCTGTTCTATCTGGTCTCTCCGTTCAACTTGATGTCAATGTGTTGTTTTGTACAAGCGAGCGCACCCAGATTTGGCAAGCTCTAGGAAATTTCGACTTGTCATTGGCCTCAGCTTATGCCACTTCCCTGGTGATGGCTTACATGTGCATTAGTTCCAAGTTTAAAGTTAAATTCTCACAATCTGTCTGTGCTTGCTGCGTCTTGGAGTAGTGTAGTCTGAGCCTCACAGACCTCCAAAATCATTTGGCGTTGAACATTTGGAAATGCATTGATAACATTGGATAACTGTCCACACTGCGCTCACTATGCACTTGGCGACTTGGCGAAGCATATTCCCAGCGCTGAGCACACGACCCCATGCTGGTTTCAATGCGGGCCGCCATCTCACGCCCTGCCATAAATCGAGGGTTTGCAGAGTGATTGCATGAATTCTCTGTCATACTATTCTCTCTTGAATTGCCGAATATGTTGAACTCCAATCTGGTCATTCTGGTCAAGAGCTTGCACTGGGCAGCAACTGAAGCACCCGAGGCGGCCACAGCAGTGGCCGCAACACCGGACCCGCAACACCGGTCCCGGTCCCGAAGGCAAATCTCCCTGTGCGATGTTTGAACCCGTAGTAGTTGCTACAATCGCAATGTGAAAAAACATTGAGTCAAAACACGAATTCATGGCATCCTCCATTGTTTCTCAAGAATGTCCTAGCATTTACAAGCACTCTATTCAATTATTAAATACATAATAATAATATATAATAATACATATTCCTACAGATAGTGACTAGTGTTTGAACATGTTTGAACTTTGAACATGTTTGAACAAACATTCAGAACTAGAACCTGTCTACAGTTGCCATAATTGAGGGTGGTTGCCTCACACCTGATCTGGAGTATGCTGACCCTGACCTATCGTCACTATGGGACTACCACAGCAGCCAGTGAAAAACAAGCAAAACTATTAAGTAAACAAACCAATGAGCTTCAAAACTAATCGTTTTACTGTCTGTCTGCTTAAGATGCTCCTGATCGCAGCTGAATCCTGCGGCAGTGACACTGTTCAAATGTGTAAAAAAGACCACGGGCTGATGCAAAAAAAACAAAGTGCATCATTGATTTCAGAAGAACGGCACGTGAATGTTCTATTCCTGCAAAAGCTCGGCAAAGCATTTCTTTTTGCCGACATCGATTTATGTCGCCCATGTGTTGCAGCAATGCAATGCATTTACACTCGTCCTTGTTCCAAGGTCGAGTCAAACCACACCGAAGTCAAGCTAGCCATGTGCCACAGGCTAGGGTGAGCATGTGCTGTTAAACACACAAAAAAAATGATTTGGATCTAATATTATATAATATGATGTACTTTGTATTTTTTCACCTTCAGAGTTGAATTGAGGTTGTGCATCTGGTCTCCCGCATGCTCTTTCGGACACAGATGAATCAGAAAGGGTCCAATTTAGACTTCACCATATCATCAGCATACCTCGGCGGCAGGTCGCCACGGGTGATCACAATACAGATTGCATAAATGATCATAAATGTGTATTCTTCAAAAAGTGAAGGTTGAACAGAAGGACGTCGGCGGCATTTGCTGTCTTCAAAAGGAATTTGTGCGCTAATTCCCTTTGGCCTTGTTTCTGCGCACGACTGCTTTGGGAAGCGCTCGTTGAAGACCTCAAAATGTCAAGAGGGAACGAAACGCAAATAGTTTGTAAATATTGTCACACTTGTTGCAAAGGGACACAAGGTGAATGAAGACATATGCATTGGCGTCGATATCGCTTTGGCGTCTTGTCTTGTCGAGGCAACATTGACAACATTTTATGGTCAGAAACTAATCGAACCTCCTCTTCATGCCAACCAATGTTCATTGATTCCGTCATTGGAGCCTGAAAGAAGCTGACGGACAGAACTTGACGGCAATGTCTACAGAATCAAAGTATGCAAACAATTGCAAAAGTACCAAAGACTCAACGACCAATACAAGCTGAGACTGACTTCACCTTGAATTTGTCCATTGGATCTTTCATCATTCGTCGATGCCTCAAAGCAAATGAAAAACCATGCTTTTGTTTGCAAAGTCTGTGGGAGTGGGCGAACTGAAGTGGCAAAGTTTTGCAAGCATTCGTCTTTGTCCCTGACTTCATCAAATCGGTTCTGTAGTCATCAACTGAAGCGTACCTCATCCAGCAGCAAAGTATACTCTGTACAAGAAAAAACGCAGAAACGTATCCAAGCAGAGAACTCTGTTGCATTCTTTGAAACGCCTGACCTTGGTTATGCTGGAAAAAACGACAGCGCGATTTCATCGTCCGCACAAAGATTTGCAAATTTTTGAAAACTGAGTCCGTTGGCAGAACCTCCCGAATTTCATCAAAACCAGCCTACATGTTGCTGCGAATTCACCCACTTACATTGGAATACATTGCACGTAACAAATGTTCGGGGATGTTAAGGGAAAATAAAAACTGCCGCTGGTTGCCTCAAGTTCTTGCCATGTCAGCTCGCCCGTTTCCTCTTCTAGATCTCGGAAGTATGCAAAGGTATGAAGTATTCGGAAGATTTCGGAAATCAGAACAAAAAATCTCGTGATGTTTTAGCACTTCGTAGCAAGTTCAAAGCTGGAATTTGAAGCTGCGAACGAAAGGTGTTCTCGAACAAACCCATCTCCTGCAATGAATAGGTCACTTTGAAAGCACGACATCATGACTCCGACCACAGGTACGAGCCGTCTCTAGCTGCATCCAGCTGCATCAAGCTGCACCTTCTGTAATTTTTGGAACATTTTGAACAGGTTGAACATGTGTATGGCCATGACCGGCCAATATTTTTAACATTTTCCTGAAAATTCCCAGGCAATTCAAAGGCCCAGCCTCTGGCATTGGTTCAAATCCGTATGCTGCCTTATTCGACCACACAACTGCGGAAGGCGATCGCTCCACTTGAAAGTGAAATGTCACATTTACGAGATAGAAACATGACAATTACACTTATCAGGACAATGTCTCAAGAATTCGCAACACACACGTGGCACAAAACAACAAAAGGTTCATAAGACATTGTCCTTAAATGTTTTTAAGAAAGCATTGCATCATTTGTTTGCAATCCCACCAATTCCACCCGCCCTCCTGGTGTTTTCACTTGCACTTTTGCTTGGTCGTAAGCTGCTGTCTCAACAGCATCTGGTTTCATACCATTCCTGTCCTCAAACAGCATCCTTCGGCTGCTTGTCATCATCCAGTGATATCAGTTGCGCAAAGCTGACACCACCGCTTGAATTGGCACAAAAGCCCACCCCATGTTCTGGTTTCAGCCAGAGGTGGGTGGGAAGGGCTAGAGGGTATTTGAACCCATCGCTGCAGTTTTGTCCTACCTTCCAACCCAAACATATTCATTCCTAGTTGTTCCGCACTTCAGTTTGAAGTGCTACAGCAACTGCGTCATTTGTGTGCAATCCCACCCACCCTCCTGGTGCTTTCACTCGCACTTTTCCTTGGTGGTGAGTTGCTGTCTCAGCAGCCTCTGGCTTCACACCAGTCCTGTACTCAAACAGCATCCTTCGGCTGCTTGTCATCATCCAGTGATATCAGTTGTGCAAAGCTGACACCACCTTTGACTTTGTCGCGCGCCTGGAATGCTGCCTCACATTTCCTACACTTGTTTGTGCCCTGCTGGAGCTTCGGCGTGAGAACTACCTTGACAGTCCGTTCGGCAAAACGCCATCCACACCAAGTATCCCATTCTGCCAAAGCGATGTTCCATGATGTACGTCGCATCCGGGGGGATACCTTTCCTTGTCGTCCCGTTGAGACAGCCCAACACTGCTCTGGACCGAGCGGTTTCGGAGCCAATTGTCTCGGTCTTAGCGTGCCAGGGGCGCCACTGGGAACTTTATCTCACCAGGTTGCCCCCCAATCATCGGTGTGCTCGGGGCTACTCCCGGGTTCGGCGTGCTCTTGCTTTGCACCAAGTTTGAATTCAGTGGCACACCCCGCAGAGCCTCTTCAATGTATCTGAACACTGCCGAAGATTTCCATCTCACCAACGTCCCAATTTCATGTATTGCTAGGCCACTTCTGGCATACCACATAGCACCGCTCCTCCGTCCGGAATGCCCCGCCATGCCGGGGTCAATGTGATCCATCCACGATTTGATGATCTTTATATCATTAAAAAATTGGCAGGCTTTGAATCAGAGAGGTTTGGATCAGGGACCTTGTCAAAGGGGATGATATCAAAAGTGCTCATTTGAGCTCGAATCAGCCTACTTTGAGACATCCAGGGTTGGTTCCGATATGGCAGTTCACGTATTCTGACGTATGGCAAATGTTTAAAATCTTGGAAGAGCATTGCTGCCTTCAACACTTTTGTCCATTTTTTTTCGGCCACAGATCGCAAGCTGAACAGGTGAGACACCGCCATGCCAGAACTTCCACGGCACACTGTTTCGCAATGTTTTGATTCAAACTAGTAAATTTCGTGAAGTCCTGTTTATTTGCCCAATATGCGTTTATGGTCCGATTCTGTTAGCGGGGGGTCAATATGCGTTTAAGGTGTATCAAAAAAAATCGTGCGCCATAAACGCATATTGGGGAATCTAACCACTTATGTCAGGAAAACCCATTTACCAACATTTACCATGAATGAAGGGAACCATCGCAAAACAAAAGTACATGTTGCGAGGTCAATTTTTTGTGTAATATGCGTGTGTAATGTATTTTGGGTGGCAGGGACCTTAATTTGCCTTTTCAGTGTGAAATAAAATTTTGACAACCAGCGACATATACGTGCTCTGTCCTTTTGCAGTCAGGTACTTTTCCGCTCTTGCATCGTCATCGGGCCTGTGACCTTAGGGCAGGCGGCGGCTTTCTTCATAGTTCACTGGTTGGAAGACTGGGGTCGCGACGGCCAAATCAAAACTGTTCGTGACATGTGTAGAGTTGGCCCCACTGCGGGAAGAAGTGGTACAGGTCTTGTCAGGATTTTGATCACAGCGAAAAGGTGACAATTCGTGTAAGAGACTGAATTGTATCGTTTCTGCGCATGTTGCTTTGATAGCTAGCTCCATATACGCGTTCTGTCCTTTTGCGGCCAGGTACTTTTCCGCTCTGTTGCAGTCGATGCCAACAACTGCAGGCTGCGCTGCGGATCTCTACCAAAGAACTATTTTATTTTGTGGTTTCGTGTTGATCCTTTTTCTGTGCTGCCAGGTGTTGCTTGTCAATGGTGAAGTAATGCGCAGGCCGGGAGCTGCACTTGCGGCGTGATGTGGCATTGGGGCGGCGACATTCATTCGAGACCATCTATACGGTTGATCAATAAGTTATCTACTGCGGTTAAGCTATGTAGAATAGATTGGTTCTTTGGGTTTATACTGTGCCGAGATATTGCAGCTGTCATATAGTAACAAGATCGCACGCATGAAGCCTCTGTGTCTTTGCAACTGCCGCAGGTACCTTTCCACTGCACTTCTTGGACGGAGGACAGGCGCGTGTCTCACAGCCTGACAATGCGTCAAGCAGTCTCTGACCTCGGGAGCCAGAGCTTTGACCCAATGTGGGAAGAAGCGTATGCAGATGCCTGGCGAACCGACACTTGTGAAAAATTCGCGACGCCTGTGTGTTTCTGAACTGTGTGGTTGCTTGACATCTTTGGAAAAACCTGCACAGTTAGTGTCATAACCATGGTGTTTGCCTGTGACTGTGACTGTGCCGTGTCTTCCATAGTTGCATTGACAACCTGCTACATTCGTGTTCTACACTTCTGCGGCCAGGTACCTTTCCTCTATGTCATCATCGTCGGATGCATACATACATACATACATGCATGCATGCATGCATACATACATACATACATGCATACATACATACATACATACATATCTCGGGGCGCCGCGCCACTTTGCGTGGCAGGCGTGGCACTTGGTGACATCCACCTTGATTACATGCAAGGTCGTTTTGCGTGGCAGGCGCCTCACTCATGGCACTTGGTGACATACACCTTGATTTCACGTGGCACGTGGCGTGGCACAATCTCACGCCCATGACGCCAGCAGTTGATCATGACTATATACCAGGTATGATTACCAGCCACAGGGCATGCAGAAAGAGTGCGCAAAATTTGTGGCTTCGCCCGAAAGAGTGCAGAACATTACTTTGGTCAGCGGAAGTATGGTGAGCACACCATCGCTTTGATAGCAGAGCCTGGTGGAACTCGAAGAAAGCGGAGCAACTTACTCACAAACAACTTACCCTACATACCTACATACATGACATACATACATACCTACCTACCTACATACATACATACATTCATACCTACCATTTTACCTTCTCGATCTTTCACCCCGCTGTCAGCGACAAGTCACTATCTAGTGGAAGAAACACCACCAACTTGCAAAACCAATGGTCAAGTCACTATCTAGTGGAAGCTTTAATTGCAAACACGTAGAAGCAACCAGGCATAAACAAAACCCAACACTGAACAAACTCTAAAATCTCAAAACTTCCAAAACAAGCAAAACAAATCTGCAAACATGGAGTCACTTCAGATTGAGTAGGCTTTCTTTGCGCGCCAAGGCTGGCCCTCTGCTTGCGAGCCAAGCACATGGAGCAGAGAAATACCGACAGCAATAGAGATGTCCTGTTTTCTTCCACGGAAGATAGCGAGCAAAAAGCACACATCACTTTCACACACACCATCTTTCACGCGCAACTTTGTCACACACATACACATACATACATTCATACATACATACGTACATACATACATACGTATGTACATACATACATACATACATACATACATACGTACGTACGTACGTACATACATATCTATACATACATACGTACATGCATACTATCTTTTCACATACTTTCACACAGTCTTTCACCACCTCCTTTGTCTTTCCTTCCTTCTCCGACCCCGCTACAACCTTTGAAGCTCATTATTGGAAGAAGTTGACTTGTGGGGTTATCCGGTCCTTTAATTATAAGCAACACTGCTTTTTTCACCCAGGCTCGTCTCTCCATGTAGTTGCACTTTTGGGCACATGTCCATGCTGAATCATCTATGGACTTCATCAGCCCCTGGATCTTCTGCATCTTCCACGCAATGAAGAGCATGAATGCCACCTTCACCTGCAGAACTGGCTGGCTCAATGTGAATATATATCTCATGGAGGAACAATTTTCTTCTGATTTCGATTTTTCATGTTTTGGAAACCCACCAGATTTGTGGAGTAAAACCAGGCATGTTTGTACCATGTCAGCTGCAGTTTTCATGCCAATGATGCCAGATGTCCCATCAGATTTGCACTGGTGGCTCATTGATTCAGGAGCATCAGCCTCTGTTGTGAGTTCTCGCTTCCTGAAACACTATGAAGTAGTAAAGAATCAAGTGCTGGGACCAGCAACCGGCCCTGGGTTTTCATCGGCAAGCGGTGAGACAATTCATCCAACTTCCCTTGTTTGCTTGAAAGCATTTTTCCGCTTGACGTCCAGAGAAGATCCTTCAGACACCATGTTGAAAGAGTGCTTAGTTTCAGCTTTTGTAGCAGATGTTCCCAATAATGTTTTGTCAGTGGGCGGCTTGCTGCGAAAGGGTTGGTCATTGAGCAGTTCCGGAAGTGAATTGGAAGTGTGCTTTGGAGGATACAATTTGGACTTGGTGACATGGCAGAATGTGCCATGGATTTTTCACGAAGTTGAGACGGTCATGGACTTTTCCGATGATCGCGATTTGCAGAAGACATTTTGGAGCCGTCGGAAAATCCATGATGGTCCGGTGAACACGGTTGAGCATTTGAGCGAAACTGACAAATCCATGTTGATGACAACCAAGAGACAGCCAGATGTTTCATTGGAAGAACTTGACCCCGCTGCTGCATCCTCTTCTAGCCCAGCATATGTTAGTAGTAGGCCTGTTTCCGATAGTGAATCTCCATACCGTGAAAGCCTCAGTGTGGAGCCTAACTCTGTTCCGGATTCGAGCGAGCCTTTTGATTATGAGCCCAATATGATTGTAGACACAAACACAGGATTTGCATCCATTCCTTCAGAAGAGTCTTCAGAGCATCCAGCTGTATTGCGAAAACGAGACTTGAATAAATCCAAGCTTGAACAACACCGCCGTCAAGGCCATTTTCCATTCCATGCAGATTGCCTTTCTTGCCAAGCAGCCAAGTCCACGACTCCCCACAGAAGAAAGAAGAAGTCGGTGTTGAGCAGTGAGATGGCATGTGATTTTTTCTTCTTGAACTTGGATAAAGCAAACAAAGAGTCTTTCAAGTTATCTAATCATGGTAGATTTGACCACTGGAATGAAAGGCGTGGCCCCTGTCCAGTCGGACATTCGTTTGTCGCACCGATGGATACAGGCCTGGCTTGGCGAATTCAATATGTCCACAGAATGCTCTGAGCCAATTGAAATTATCACGGACGCAGAAGAAGCTGTTTCAAGTTTCATGAAAGGTGCCATCAACCACAGGCCAGCTTCATTCGTCAAAGCGCCGCCGCAAGGTCACCAGACCATTGGTGGAGCAGAGGCTGGAGTCCGAGCCATTAAAGATGCGTTCAACGCTCTTCGGCAAGAATGGCTGTGATGTTTGCGTCAGGAATCAGGCAGCTGTGAATGCCGCTTTGGCATATTTGTGCCATTGCTCCAATTATTTTTCATGTTACTTAGATACAAAACAAAGTCCAAAGTCACTTGCACTTGGTCGGGAGACGACCCGGAAAACAACCATGTTTGGCAGCCTTGTCCTTGCAGAGGTGCCAGCTAGCTTGAAGAAAGATTGCATTTCCCGATTTGAGAAGGCAACATATTTGCGACCTGAGTTCAACTCATTGGGGGATGTCGTTTGTACTGTCATTGGAGGGCAAGAACGTTTCTTTGTTTGCAAGAACTTTAAGATTGTTTCCCCATTGGAGTGGGACGTCTCCTTGTCTCCATCTATTTTGCATTTTTTCGACCGGATGCAGCCTGATGTTTCCATTGAAGATCTCTCCGCGAAGATGTCTGAAACTCTGCCCTCTAGGATTATCGAGCCTGTGGAATATTCAAACGTCAAGAATGTTCCTTCATCCGGGATTCATGAGCATGGACGTACTAAAGGTTGTAGTGTTTGTTGCTTGTTCTCTATCAATGCCATTAAGTTATCCAATGCAACTTACTTCAAGTGCAACATGTTGGATAAAACGATGCACCTCGGGTCGTGCCTCTTTCTGAAGTCGGGTATGCCTGTAGTCCTTTCAGCACACTAAACGTGCAAGACATGGTGAAGCAACATCTGCTTCGTGATAACATCTATCAGACACATTGTCATCCATGTCAGGCCTACCCCACTTAAACACATGGATGCATCCTTTCATCACATTGGCCAAACAGGAGTAAGGCGTGTGAAACCCTGTTGGACCAACTCCGAGATATCACCTCTCGAGGGTTTATCTGCAATATTGCTAGCAGACGGGACCCGTGAGATCCAAAGAAACATTGAATTAGCTGCCGCATGTCTATACAAATGTTGCAACAAACGAGCTTGAATCAGTACAGGGCTGAACATGGAAATGAGATTCGCCCTGGCTGCTTCATTATCTACAAAAATAAACGTCCTAGCCGCCCTCAGATACTCAGTCAAACAGTCCACAGCAGCCACTGATGCCAAAAGCTCAAGTGCAGCAATCACTTTGGGGGTATCGGTCTGCATGGCCTGTAGCGTAGCAGCTGGAACCTGCTCAGCAAAGAAGACCCGCTTCACCAGTTCATAGTTGCGCCACACATACGCAACCATCCCAATACCAGCAAACGAATCATCACTTTCAAGACAAGCATCTGTGGAGATGAGGACTCTGTCACCCTCAACATGTGTTTTGAGGACCCTAGGAGGGCATGAAGATACGAAGTCCAAGGCCCAACGTAGCTCATCTTGCTGGTCGATTGCGAACCACCACACCCTGGTCCTTAGAGAAAGACAAGTCAAAGTCAACACCCAATGCACTGAAACGCTCTGACATGGACATCCGCTTCGAGGCCTTGGTGGAAAACCTCCAACCAAGCAACAACGCTTCTCTGCAGTTTCCATCGAGCTGTCACCACAGCTCTTGAGATCCAGCTGTGGAAAGTCATCATAGTAATTGCTCCAAATCAAACCAAAGCAGCGAACCCCAATGGCGTGGATAGCCCTAGCCCCTAGCCACCAAGTTAAAAGCAAATACTGATGCAGAGGCGCCGAGGGGCAGGACACGAGATATGCTTGCTGCCAGTAGCATCCGGAACCATGAGGACACTGGCACACAAAGAGCTCCTACTTACCAACATCTGCTTGTATGCAGCTTCCAGATCAAGCGTCCTCCCACAAATGGATCTGGCCATGGATACGTCGAGGCTCTCATGCAACTTGCCAGTCAAGACTGAACCATCGCTGAATTCCAGACTAACGTTGCCCTCGTCGTCCACAGCTTCCAGAAACACACGTGCCATGACAGAAATACCATCTACGCCATCCAGTGGGAGTTTGTACTTGGCAGCAAACGACGAGTTAACCATGCTGATGGACATATCATCGATCGGCCTCACCTTGTCACTTTGAACCAACCCGAAACGTGGAGAGGCCACGAACAAAGGGCCACATCTCTGAGCCACTTCAGCCTCATCCAGTGGTCCTTCGAGCCATCCAGCTTCTGCTTCTTGCAGTGTTACCTGCCACACCGACGACAGCACATCTTCGTCCATATGGCTATGGTGCTTGGATTTGAGCATCTTCCGACTCCATCTCGAAGATTTCATAAGTTGAGTGACACTGAGGGCAGGTTCATTATCCTCGGGCTCAAACAAGTTGCTGAACCCTGAGTCACCATACAGAGAAGTGCCAATCAGTTGCCGAATAGCCAGATCATCCCCCTCAATGCCAGCATCACTACACATCCTCCGGAAAAGAAGGAGTTTCTTTGACTCAATGACCTTGCGCTGCGCTGGGTCCAGCTCTGCATGAATGGTATCCTCAGCATCTTGCAAATCATCTGCTATAGCTTCATAATGAGCAAAGGCTTGACTTCTGAACTGTTCGACAACCAATGAACCTTCTGTAAGAAGCCAGAAAATATTGCGCTTGATCTCATCGTCTACCAGCTCTGATCCATCAAACGGGTGACGTAGGCGACAAGCCTCTAAAACAAACTCTTCAGGCTCAAAATAACAGCCAATTTTCCCAGCATAGGTCACTTTCTTCTCGTTGTTCTCATCAGCAGCTACCCCACTTTGGACACATGAGAACAGCTTTGCTGGTGTGGACAGTTGGAAGTGGTCCAACTGCTCTTGTGTCAACATGTGAGGCATCTTGGCTGGTTTTGCAAAAGGCCAAGAAACTTCGAGGACATCTTTGAACTCGGCGACCAACTCAGGATGTTTCTGACCTCTTGGTTGTCGCCCTGCGTTGGCTTTCGAGGGCGTTTGAACGGTGGAGACACGCCTACGCTTTGCTGGAGAAGGCACCACAGCTCCCAAAGAAGTTGCTGCTCCAAAGGCTGCTTGCGAGATTCGAGAACACAGCAAGGCCGGGTACTCGGCTTCATCAGCAGTTGCATAGGTGGTACGGTTGTTTACTCTGGCGATGGTCCAAGGGTCATGCTCATGTTTGCCATCGCACTCTAAAGCCAAACAATCCAGCCAAGGCGCATCAGTGTAAAAGGTGCTCCACCTAGCTCTTCGACTGCCATGCATACAAGCTTGGAAGGATACAGGCCGCAGGCGCAGATCGATAATCAGCTGTCTCATCCACTTTGTATGCCACATCCAAGATCTTCTAGGGTTCTCAATGGAGATGAATGCACCATTTTCCGCAGCAATCCGGCATAAGGCAGCTACATTCTTGTAAATGAGCAGCTGACACCCTCCTCAAGTCTGTGCCTTTCAAAGTAGGTAAACCTTCAACCCTAAAACCCTAAACCCTACTTTAAAACCTAGCCTCTGAAAACTTTGAATCCTAAACGCAGTATTTTCTGCAATCTCTCCTATCATATACTCGACAGCACAACATTCTCAATGTTTATGTCTGGGCAACACGGCGTCTGTGAGTAATAATACAACGCCCACAACTTCCCACAAGCATGTGGTTCTTTGATGTTCTTTGGCAACTGAACCCGTTTCGAAATGCGTTCGAAATCAGGTAAACCTTCTGGCCACTTCGCACTACGCAAGGGTTTTGGCGCTTTGATGCCAAGCTTGCGAAGCCTCCACGGAATCTTCTTGTCGCGAGCCCTGCTTGCAGTACCATATGGTGGGGCGGCATGGAGATAGAAAATTATAGACCTGGCTGTTTCAGCAGCGATCGTAGAAATTCGATGGCGTCATCATTCGCTACTTTAGGTTTAAGTTAAGTTATAATCTGTTTAAAGAGTTTAACTTAGTTATAAGTATGTGGATTTTTTGGGATAGTTATATGTTACTTACGCACTTATAAGTATGCTATATGAGCTTGGATTGAGAAAAGTTATGATAGTTAGCTTTTTTTCGTTTTTTAAACATTTTGATGTTCCCATATGGTTTTTGGGCATGTTTTTTAAACTTTCTGTTTTCCGCAGCAACCATGGCTCGATTAGTTCACGAGATTCAGTCCTCGCAGCGTTTTTTGCAGGGATTAATAGCTTTGCCCAATTTTCCAGATTTGCGTGAAAGTCAGGCAACCCGGATTTTGGGACAGATTAAAAAGTTTCAATTGTCCGTGGAAGTGGCTGCGCGCGTTTTGGATGAGTTGGATGTGACCGTGTGGGGAGACGCTGTGCATGCTCGTTTTCTTGCAGCTGTGGCCGATTGTACCGAGAGCAAGGCTCGTGCCAAGCAGCAGAATTTTTGCTTATTGTCAGAGTATATGAATCAGCAGTGGTGGGATTTCTTAGAATCGAGGAACAAGGACATGATGAAGTTGGAGGCATTGTGTAAGCATGCCTCGAAGCTCGGATTGAGGAATCCCACGGAAGGTTCCTATGGAGCGCTTTTGGCACTTTCTTTTTATTCGAGCAAGTCTGAGATGTGGCTGGAATCGGAGAAGTATAAGCTTTTGGAGACGCACAAGGGCAGAATGAAGAAGATCTTGCAGCAGGAGCCGTTGCCGCAAATGCATCTGCTAGCTTTGCCGGCGGATCCAGCGCAGATGCCTCAATGCTTGCTGAACCCGGCTTATCCCAATGGTTTTGTGTCTGGCCTTCCGTCGCTCACTACCAAAGAAGCGATTCAGAATTTGATTTCGACTTATCCTTTGAGAAAAACTAATCGGGCCAACCCAGCGGTGCCAATGTCTGTGGCTTCGTCATCGTCCACGGACACGCAGGTGCTGACAGTTGCTATGAATACATTGGCTACTGTATCTAGTATGATGCAGCAGCAGCAGCAGCAACGGGTTTCTGATGACTCTTTGCCGGGCTTGAGAATTTTCAAGACACCACAGAAGACACGAGATGGTGCCGCTTCCGCCAAGCCTTCACCGTTCCATCCTCAGCTGGCGTTGGAAGACAAGAAGGAAGGGGTCGATGCGCTGCCCACTGCACAGAGCGTGCAGGACTCTGCTATGGTCAAAGCGGAAGATGCGGTCCTGGGGAAACAATTGAGCCCTCGGTCCACCATTCAGGCTTTGAGAACGGAATTGGACAAGCAAAAAGGTTCGACCGGATCTGTGCAAAAGAGGCCTGCGACAAAGAAAGTGAAGAAGCCGCAGAAGAAGAAACCAGCGTTGCGCCGTCCAGCTGCGGCGCCGCAAGTCGCTAGGCGTCCGGCTGCGGCATCTTCGGTGGTATCTGATGGCCAAGCAAGGCGTGAAAAATTGTTGCGAGGCATTCCCTCGGACATTTTGGAATCGTATAAAGATGGTTGTTCTACTTGCAGGGGACGACCGTACTGCACAGTGTCATGTTGGTTTAAGCGAGGCTTTACCGTGTAGAGACAAGAACACGTAGACATATAGAAGCTGTAGCGGCGGCTGGATTTTTGGCGAGCAGGTTGCGGGGAGTAAAAAAAAAGGGTTATTGGGTTGTCCCAGTGTGTTCGGTTTTCCCTTCAAGGTCGAATACTGCATTCTTGTTTGCCGTTACATTTCGGCTCAGTAGGTTTCTGCTGACGGTTCTCCGTCTTGACTGCGCGTGCTCCGCGAGGCAGGGTCCGATTCCCGGCACATCCTGTATGTCGATCTCAAGATATCTCTATATATATATATATGTGTGTGTAAAACAATGAAATCATTTTCTTGTATATATATATACGTATATGTTTACATATAGAATGCTATATTTCATGTATTCGATATCTCTTGTATACACATGTGTTGCACCATCACCTGCGTGGTGGTGGTTGATGGCACCTGCTGTCACGTGCTTGCAAATGCGTCACCTGCGTGGTGGCGCTGCACCTTGTTGTCGCTTCACCTGCGTGGTGTTGCGCTCTTGTCTCGATGTCACCTGCGTGGTGGCACCGTTGCTTTGCATCACCTGCGTGGTGATGTCTTGCATGTTTCTCGTGGCACCTGCGTGGTGTCGCTTTGCGGCGTCACCTGCGCGGTGGCGCCTCAGATTGTATTCGCTTCACCTGCGTGGTGTTGCGAAGTTGCATGGGTGTCACCTGCGTGGTGTCACGGTTGCAAGTGCTTCACCTGCGTGGTGTTGCACTCTTGATGGTCGCTGCCTGAAGGCGGCTGCTTGATTTGTTCGGGCCTCAGCTGCGTGTTGTTGCCTTAACCTGGTTGTCACCTGCGTGGTGTCACGCTTGTCTCTCATGATGTGTGCTCGCATGCAATGAAGTTGCATCAAACCTTATAGCTGCCATGATTTAGGCAATATATTTCAAAATATTTCCACATTGTATGTGCATTTTTAGGATTCTGCCATTATATTTTTTCATACGTATGATTGCTGACAGATATTATTCCGGACATTACCTGTTCATGGTATATTTCTTTCTTCATATGCTGCTCGTGCCTCCTGTCTTGTGCAGGTGCCATGGCGTCCAGTTCGGATGATGAGGAGGATGAGTCGGAAGAGGACGCTACGTCCCCAGCTGTTGCGGCGGAGAAGAAGGAAGAGGACGACAAGAAGGCCAGAGGGGCGGAACAGAATAAGGAGGAGCTGCCCTCTCGCTCGGAGAGACGCACAAGGGCCAAAAGTGAAGAGAGGAAAGAGAGGTCTCGGCATCGTCGCCGCCGTCGACGGTCTGGTCGAGAGACGGACAAGGATCGCAGTCGCGGACGTGACCGGAGGTCTTCTGAATCTCGTCGAGAGATAAGGGAACCCGGTTGCGTACCGCGGCTTCGGTGGGACGAAGTCGAGGATCCGAACCGCCTCCGGAGCCGGCACTACCTCCAAGGCAGGCGCCGAGTCTGTTGCCGCCGCCACCTCCGCCGCCGCCAGCAGTTCCCAAGGATGGTGGCAAAGGCAACAAGAAAGGCCCGCAGACAGTCCAAAGCAAAGTGCGCTGTGACATATGTCATCGATCTGTGAGTTCGACGGCTAAAGCTGCAATGGACCAGCACCAGTACCTGAATGAGCAGCGCATCGCCGTGCAGTGTTGGAATGGTTTTAGCCGAGCACAGCAAAAGGATGCAGCCATGTGGCCGAAAGCAAAGGAGATGGACAAGAAGATTAAAATGAGCAGAGAGAATGCGTCCGGCGTGCAAGAGGAGGAAGACCTGCGTGGCAGCAGCCCTTGCACTGTCAGGTCGTCTGGCGGTGGCATCTCTCGCGGGCCGTCCTCCTCGCACGTGGTCACTGTTGCGGAGAAGGCAGCGCCGGTGGAAGAAGTCACGAAGTCGAAAAAGACGCATGGGAAGGAGGTTGCCTGCGGCTCTCGTCGACGTCGTCGTCGCGGGACGCCGGAGGACTCCTCTCATGACTCTTCGAGCCACTCTCGTCGCCGCACTAGGCGTCGGATTCCGCAGCATGTGACAATCAACTTCCGGTAGCTGCACTGATAGAATCGAACCTTGCCACGGACACAGCACGGCAGCGCTTGAAAAAAGATTGCAGCGGGTTGGTTTTACGGGTGTGGCTTGGGATGTTCTCTCATTTTTCTTTCCATGGTTTCTTCACCTGGAAATATAAAGTAAGTATATAATATGTGCACCGAAGCAACGTGTTTTTTTTCGTTTTCCCACATCTGGTTGTATATATATATATATATAAATTGTGCTTGTGCAGCTTATAAACTTTCTGCAAAGAGCCACAAACCTGGCCTCATGCATTATGTTTCGAACGATGCGTCTGCAATGGCAACAGAAGGTTTGGCTCAGATTTCGATATCGTATCTTGAAATGTATAGAGATCCGTGCTGATGGACAATGTGACAATGGAAACTCATTTTACTCTCTCCTTGGTGGCATTGGGCATTCTCAGGCAATGCATGGAGGAAGCCTTTGCAAAGCCGAGGATGCTTGCTGGATATTTGTGTCATCGGGATTGGAAGGAGGAATTTTTGAAATGTTTGGAGTGCTTGGACCAGGCTGAAGGTCGGGCCTTTGAGGTTGCGGATGGCGATGTGACCATTCTCATGCCCCGTGTGAATTGTTTGTTGCACGTGGCTGCTCGCGATGATTGGTCAAGTCTGCCGGTTGTCCCGGGAGATCCCCAGATGGTCCAGCTCCGCGGGCGCGTGACAGATTGGGGCAGCATGTGGCGAGACTTTCACGCGCGAGTAGGTCGCTATCACAAGGAGCAATTTGCAAGGGCTCGGCTGGACTTGGGTGAGCTGTGCGACGCCTGGGACAGGAAGGCGCCCGAATCTCTGCCCCTAAGTGCTTGGTTGCACTGTGTAGAGACGCAGGTGGGGGAGACGTTGCATATTCTTTGAAGGATTGGAGACGTTTGGACGGATGTCCGCGGATGTCCGCGGATGTCCGCGGATCCGTCAACATGACCGGATGTCCGCGGGTAGATAGGTGGAAGAATAGGTGCCAAGCAGAGATGTCCGCGCAGAACTGAGGCTCAATGTCCGCGGATGTCCGCGCGTGCCCGACAAGATGGCTTACTTGGAAGGAAAAAAAGCAGGGAAACCGTGGAAACCTTCTCCTCTGGCCGTATCAGTTCTTTGACGTTAGGCTGTTCTATGTCTTTCCCGTATATGGCTTTGCCTCGAATGGTTCGCTGCAAGGTGTTATGATTAAATTATGCAGGTTCTCAAACGTTTCCACGTTATGTCTCCATGTTCGGCATATGGGGCTGCTGCAGTTGGCTGGCTGAAGCGGTTTATGTGGATTCATTCTTTGTATGATAAAATATATGTGTATAGATATATGCCATTCCCCCGTCCACTAACAGAGCGCTATTTACATATAAACATTTGGTTATATATAGAAATCTAAATATATCGACACATATATAGATATTATATATATATCTATCTATCTATCTATCTATCTATCTATCTATCTATCTATCTATCTATATATATGTGTGTGTGTGTGTATTCTTTGGTAAAGTGCTGCAAGTGACTAGATAAAGCTGGCAGCGTGGAGACCAAGCATGCTGTCGCATGATCCGTAGGTTTTGGGCTCGTATATGAGAAAGAGTGACAAACAGTACCTGCTCCGGTGATCTTTGGGCATGGCGCTTGTGGAAGTGAAATACACTTGCAAACTTTGCGCTTTGGAATACCTGCTAAAGGATGGGAGATTGCATGGAAACACGTTTGCCTGCGTGGCATGCGCCAGTTCTGAGCGCCTGTTGCGCCGCAATGTTGGTAATTGCACCGAGCTCCAAACTTGGAGCGCGGCAGAACAATGCCAATTTTTCCGGCAAATCCTGCAGCAAAAGAAAGCCACTCAGAATGGTCGCTTGGCTTGGAATGCCATTCGGGCAACGTTGGTGAAGTCATTGACGGACCAGAGAATTTCAAGCTGGAAAGCCGAGGTGCGTGGAAAAGAGTTGCCTCTGTCAGTATGGCTTAAGCAGGGCTGGGATGAAGAAGTGGTGAAAAAGCAGCCATGTACTTGGAGTGAGGAACTCCAAGTCGATGTGTATTGCGTGCCAATCAGAGAAACCACATGGGCTGAAGAGTTTCAAAGAATGGAAAAACAAATTCTTCAGCATGAAGCAGCTGCCGCGCAGAACAGGGCTAAAAAAGGCAGGAAAGCTGCTGCCAAGGACGACGAGTCAGATGGCAACTTGGACTTGCCGGCTTCCGCGGACAAGTCGGAAGCTGCAGGGTCAGCTGCTGACGCGTCCAAGGATGCTGCGCGCAAGAAGCTTCTGCGCGCCAACCTTGCATTGTGTAACACGGCTGCGAAGGCTTTGGGTCCTTTGCAGGCAAGCTTGGCTGCCTTGACTACCGTATGGGAAAAGAATGCCCAGCACCATGAGGTCATTGACCCGAGAGTGACTGAGACAGTGACCAAACACAAAGATACGTTGGAAAAGAATGCTGCCGCTGCTCGCTTGGTTGTGAACACGCACGAAAGCACACGCGAGGCGTGGCAGGGTGAGGGTGACGTGCAGCCTTTGCCACCGTTGCCGCTCACGGCTGCGGATTTGAAGACACTCTTGAAGCAGCACTCTGAAGTGATGAAGGCGATCCGCAGTGCGCTTCCGAAGAAGGAGGCGAAAGCCAAGGCAAAGGCAACGCCAAAGGCAGGTGCAGGTGGCGTGCCGACAGCCTCTCCAAAGGTAGCTGCGGACGCTAAGAAGCGAGCGGCGCCTGCGGAGGCAGGTGGGGAGGCCATGCCGAAGCGTCGATCTTGCAAGGGTGCACCTTGACAGGATGCTGTGGTTGAAAGCATGTGAAGTGCGCTTACGCACTGTGCTCTCTGCGCTCGTGCTTAGCAGGGTCCTTTTTTATTTTCTTTGCTATGCTCAGCCACGGTCAAGAGTTTCTCGTGGTGTACGTGACTGTGCCGGAGGGGAAAAGTTTGCACGAAAAATAAATTCAAAGGGGCCAAAGGGGTTTGATTGCAGGCTCTTCGAAAGCTAAACTGAGGATACACTTACGTGCGATCCTATGTCTTGATCAATCACCAATCACACACTTTGACTCACAAAATATCATGCACAAGAGGAAATTTTCTGAATCCCATCTGTTCCTCATTAAAAAGAAAAAAGTCATCAGCACGCGTGACCCTTTTTTCAGACGAGTGCATGTGGCTCAAAGGTCTTTAGGCTCTGACCCACGAACAAATATGCTAATCGTACCACATCTTGTAAATACCCACTTCCACCCAGATTGTATTGGATTGTTCTTGCTATTCTCTTTGTTCTTTCTTCATTTACATACCGTGATTGCCATGGGATGGAGGCGGCGAAGAGACGAAAAATTAGAGACGGGGACACAATTGCCGAAAAATTCCACTCACTCAGACAAATTCCTGGCTTGTCGGCTGCAAAGTGCCGTGAAGTATTGTCTTTGTTGGGAGACGATGAAAGCCAAAGAGGTGAAAAAACTGCATGTAAAAGTAGAAAGTTGAGGTATCCCAAAGTCATGGACATGGTATCCAAAATTCGCTTGTCGTCGGCGGAAGAGGATGGCTGCATGGCAGTTGTGTCAGTGCCAAAACTCTTGCAAGCCAAGTGTGATGCGTCGCCTTTTTTTTGTGATATGCTTAGACATACAATTGCAAGAGAAGGACCTTACCTGGAGCTTGTGGTGGCATGGGACGAAGCCGTGCCCGGCAATGTCCTCGCACCTGACTTGACTCGAAAGGCGGCAATGACATATGGCACCATCGCGCACTTGCCCGTGCCATGGGCGAGCGAAAGCTGGTGGTCCATGTGCATTGCTCGGATACATTATCTGCAGACATGTTCCTTGGGGTATCCTTCCTCCATGTCAAAGTTCTTGCACCATGTCGTTTCAGAGACCAAAGATGGATTCACTCTCATGTTGGGAAACATTCCCCATCTTTGTTTCTTTAAGAAAATATCACTCGTCGCTGACGCGGACGGCTTGCGTTTGCTGCTTGGATCAAAAGGTGCCTCCGGTTTCAAATGTTGCTACCAGTGTAGCAATGTCATCACGGGAGAAAAAAACCTTGCTGGACATGAACACATGCGATCCACAAGGGTGAGCAATTTTCAGGCACAAACGCAAAGCAACCTAAAAGCGATCTGTGCACACTTAAGCAGCATAGAGGGAAAGAAAGTGGTGGCAGAAGCGGAGAAGCTTCTGGGGTGGCATTTGGCCGAGATGAAAGCATCTTTCTTGCAAGATCCCTTGCTAGAACAAGTTATCCAGTTGTCGGATGTCTTGCGCGATCCGATGCATTGCTGGGTAGCCAACGGGGTGGTAAATCAAGAACTTGGTCTATGGTATACTGCTTTGCTGGACACAAATTCCTTGAATCTTCGTCATCTGTGGGAATACGTTTCCCGGTGTTGGAAACCGGCACATGGTGAAGCAAGCATGAAAAAACTCTTCAGTCCGAAGAAATGGGTATACGGCCGTGATTATCGTGGAGAAGCTTCGGAAACATTGGACGTCTTACCCTTAGTGGTGGCTTTTTGCCTCGAAGTCTTGAATGGCTCTGGCCATGGTTTGCAACAAGAAATTCGCTCCCTGCGAGCTTTGCTTGATGTTGTGACAACATGGACTTGGTGCAAGACGCGCCAATGTCATGATCCCCACATGGACATGACTGCCGCGTCTAACAATTTACTTGCTTGTCAAGTAAAACATCTTGAATTGTTCAAATCTTGCTATGGTCAAAACATGGTGCGTCCAAAACATCATTTTTCCTTGCACGTTGGTCCGCAGATGAAACGCAAAGGTTGGTTGAAAGATTGCTTTCCCGTGGAAAGGCGTCATAGATGGTACAAACAACACATCGCTCCCAATTGGAAGCGACTGTCATGTTTCGCTGAGTCCGCATTGTTTGAAATGATCCACCTTGATCTAAATCAGGAACAAATTCATTCTTTGGAACCATGCCTCCATGGCCGACAAATTCCAATGGACCCGTCCATCGGAATCTGTGAAAAAAATGCTATGCTGGCACACGGCGTGACGGCAAAAGGTTCCATGTACACCCACGGTGATTACTTCCAGCTCAATGAGCAGCAAGCCTTCCGTGTGGAAGCGGCTGCAGCTGCCGACGGTAAATACATTTTGCTTGGAAAGAAACTGGACGTATGCCACCACACGAACCATGTCATAACCAAATGGACTCCACCAAATTCCAAAGGTGCATTGTGGGTGCTACCTCTGGAAAAAATCCTTCGCGCAAAACGTATCTGTTACCACCGTGTAGAAAAAATGAATCCAAAGATATCGTTTCTTTACTCGTTTGCTGATGCTCGCGGAAAAAAAGACTGCAAATTGCATGAACATCCTGCTAGACCAAAAATATATGAAAATATAGTTAAACAAGTTAGCATAGTTATAACTTAGTTATCAATACCCCATAAATCATCCAAATCGTAACTGGTCTAACTTACTTATAACTCAGCTTATAACCAACATAACTGCAAATTCCTCTAAAGTAGGTCAATGCAGACAATGGGATGGCACTGCTTGTGCCGATTGCTCTTCTGATCCACAGCCGTGACCTTAAAGTTTCTTGATGCCATGGAAGCTGAAAGCCTTGCGCCTCCAGCACAAAGCTCAACAAAAATCAGTGAATTCAACGGAGCACCATCAAACTTCGACGATGGTGGTGACACGCATGCAGTACGCTGGCCTCAGGCACCTCCCTGAGCATGGGTCCTTTGGCTCTGTGGACCCCTACACTTGGTGCAGACATGCCATCCTTTGCTGCACTTGCCCCCAATCTCAGCACCATTACAACCATTGAGGTTGAAGCTGAAGCAGATTGGCTCCTGATCGGCGGTGGTTGCATTTTGGCCAATCAACTCTGGAGGCATTCGAATGGAAAATCGACCTACACTTTGCAAATTGCGCAACTGACCCTGCATGTTCTCCAGTTGCCTGCGCAGTCGCTCATTCTCCGATGATGCACTTGACTTGTTCTTCTTGGGCTCGACCCTGACATCATCATCGTCATCGGCTCTGCGCTTGGCGGAACCTGATGGCAAAGGTTGAAGGTGCAAACGAATCTCAGGAGCGGTCAGAGCCTGTTCAAGAGCTTTCTCCATTGGTATGGTGTTG